ACAAAGGGCAGTCATCTCTGAGCCCAGCAGATATTATTTTGACAGCCCCCTCTTTTTCATTTTTTACTACTTTGATTTTTCTTTTGTTATCAAAGGTCATTTTCAAGTCTTTTTTTTTCTCATGGAGAACTGTTCAAGAGAGATTGCTCCTGCAAATAGACACAACAATGTCAGGTGGGGAGGTGTAAGGTAGAGTTCAAGAACCTCTTTTTGTGTTCGGTGTGTTTTGTTTATCTCAAAAATTTAAATTTAAAGGAATAATTCACTTAATTTTTTTATATTTGCTATTTCAAAACCAGAAGCTTTGCTTAAATATTGGGTTATTTCTCCAAAACTGGTCAGCCCACTTGGAAAATAATCAAGCCACATGTACTGTACGTACGCTCGGGTACTTTATTACATGCATAAGGGAGTCACAATTTACTGTTATTGTACTGAATTCAGCCTATTTATTAATTTAGCTCTGTTTCTGTTCCACAGAAGAAAGTACTGTGGTTTGGAATGAAATGGATGAGGGTGATTAATAAATAATGACAGATTTGTCATTTTTTTGTGAGCTTGTGCTCAGGGATTTATTTTGTCTAAAAGTGCGCAAAACACTGGAAAATTGAACATGGAACTGTGGAAAAATTACTTTACATAAGACTGTAAAAGGCGACAGCCCTCCTGTCACAGAGCAAATCATCTGACCCCCAAACCTTCCTGTTACTATGGCATGTGTCACCATATCTATCGTCTGCGATAGAATTGTGATCGTTCTTTTATGATCTATTTCAGATCCCTACACAGGATGACAGATGGACAATATCTTTACAAAGCCATCAAAAAGCGTTAGACAGTTTTGTTCTTTAACACTTTCAAACATAAGCTATTGCAGTGTGAAGACTTTTCGTAGTCTGTTTCTCTGAAACTATCAGTTTCTAGGCCAAAAGAAAATAATTCTCAAACAAGCTGTCTAACATTTTGTTGTTGCTGGAACACTGAGTTTATTGCTTTTTCATTGGCCTGTCTCTCTCAAATGAAATGACATTTGTCAAAAGCTTTAGAGACGATATAACTCTTAAACAGACTCCTGCCTAAGGACAGAGTTATATTTGACTACCAACAAATAACCTGTTGTGTATCCATTGTGACAGAATTCACTTAATTGAACTTGAAGCAACATGTGGCCGAACGAGCCCATGTTGGCCGAACCCTGAAGGAATCCAGAGAGGGAATCATCTGTTCAGGGGAGATAGATCTCATTCTTACAGCTGCTTTATTCAGCCTGTGGCAAAATAACAGACAGATGAACTGCTAAAAGCAAAACACTTTAGCAGTTCAGAATATATTGTGCAAAGACCCGCCACTATCAGCCGGTCACTTCGTCCGCTTAAACGCAGTCCCTCCACAATAGATTGCAATTTTCGAGTGCATCACCCACATCTTAAAATACATTTGGATGTATGTCAACAATTCAAATGAAAAATCTGTCACTACTTCTATTGCATTGCGATTCGTGAATTTAAAATTCAATTGTAAGGGATTTTTTTCCAATTAAAGTGAACATAAGTGCAGCCTCGTTCTTGCAACTTAAAAGACAACTCCGGTGCAAAATGAACCTTTGGTCTAATAAAACATCGGTACCTAGTCAACCGTTCTCTGAGATTTGTTTTCATGATAATCGAATGTAAAGGGTTTCATATCTAAAATAACGCTAGGAAAGGGGGCATTTACTAAGTAAAAAGAAATCACAAGTTTATACCACTAACATAGCCCCACACTAACACAGTAACATAATAAGGGTTCATACATGCAAAACGAAGCATTGAGAACTTTGTAAGTGTACAGACCGTTTAATAAGAAGATACTTTATAAAGACAGTTCACTTTGTGTATACAGACAGGAGCCATCTTAGTCTCTTCTTTTTAAACGGTCTGTATAAATAAGTATCTTCTTATTAAACGGTCTGTACACTTTCAAATTTCTCAATGTTTCGGTTTGCATGTATGGACCCTCATTATGTTTCTGTGTTAGTGTGGGGCTATTTTGAGCCTTGTTAGTGGTATAAACTAGCGATTTCTTTTTACTAAGTAAATGCCCCCAGTACTAGCATTATACGCTAAACGGTTTTTAGAGATAAAACTCTTTACATACGATTATCATGAAAACAAATCTCAGAGAATGGATGACTAGGTACCGATGTTTTATTAAACCAAAGGTTCATTTTGCGCCGGAGTTCTTCTTTATCAAATCCACTGGCTGTATAACTAAAAACACCCCCCTCACAATGAATTCCATGACCCGAAGTCATAGATAAATAATATCCAGCTGGTATTTCTTAAGGAAGTGATAGATGAAATGATATGTATCGGATTGCATAGATGGTCTGTGAGCAGATCAGGTGGTGTTGACCTGCTACGCTATCTAGACAGGCGTTTTCAGCTTGAGAAAACACCCAATTTGTGACACATTCTCCAATAGCTTTTTGTCCAGACGGGCTGGCTTGTGGATAAATGTTGTCACGTTCAGTGAATCCACTTGTCTTATGGTTTCCACCATGCATGTAGCTATGAAATTACATAGCAATAGCCATTTGGTTTCTGATTTATTTTGGTGAGTGATCTTTGGGGATGGAAATTTAATGGAGGCTGTGAGAAAAGAGGCATCTGTGTCTGATCCACCAGTGTGTGTGTGACTAAAGCCTAGTTCACACTACATGATTTTAAAATGTCGGGCTGAACTGTGCAGTTCACACTACATGACTTGCTCTCAGTGAAATCATGAGTGTTCAAGTTGTTTAGCTGTTCACACCACACAACACAACGTGATTGATCCACAACAGGAGGTAACTCACTACACGAGTTAACAACGCACTATATAGAGATACAACCACGATCGGATGATAAGAGCATATCATTTGTGACTCAATGAGAGCTGTTTCAGTACTATAATACGGTCTAAATCCTGAAAATACTCAAACAAATAACGAGTTGACAACAACACGATTCTATCTGGTCTAGAAACCATGTTTTGTAACGAAAAACCACGCAATAAAACGAACCAGAAATGACGCGAAACTGCAGAGAAGAACACAACACGCGAATATGGACGTCAGACAGAAACTAGTGCTGCACACTGTTTGCTCGACGATATGCTCTGAGAAAAAAAAAATGCAAAAAAGAAAAAGTAAGATTTACCTGGTGTCCTCAACCCATGCGTTGCTATGATTGGCTGTACTCATGACATCACTGAGATTGAGTCGCGCGACTGCGCGAGATATCTAGCATGCTAGATATTTTTCTGAGCTCGGTGACCTGTCTGCGAGCTGTCTGCGAGCTGTCTTTGATGCGTTGTTGGCTCTTTCACACTAACTGATTGGCGAGCGTTAATCGTCCGCTAATCGCCCGCGATTTGCACGCGATAACACCCTGACTTGTCGGCGACTCAACGATTTGCAAATCGGGCTTAAATCGGGCTTAAAATCACGTAGTGTGAACTAGGCTTAAAAGGCAGGGCTGGATGTCAATCTGTCAGTCCTCTGAGGAATTCTACTCTGAGGAAAAATAATAGATGCATTTGATAGGAAATACACATGAGCAGCAGAGTAATTCAAGAGTGTAAGAGGGTTCTTGTTCTATTTGGTTCGTGTGTCTTTTCACTTTCACACACCTTCCATCCAAGCTTCAAAGCCTCGATGAACAAAACCAGTGCAACATCATTGTGTCAGTCAGCCCCCCGCTGAAGCCTGCATCTCTGTGACAGTGGGACTATAGTGTTCCTGCATGCTGTCCTGTCAGAATGCAGACCACATGATGTCAACTGCAGCCCTCCACTAGTAACACCCATAATAACCCACTGGGTGGCTTGGAGGGAAAAAGGTTTGGAGAAAAGCCCTGAAATGGGTCACCACCATTGGGCCAGAGTGGACAACAGTGGCTGTAATTAAATCTGACAAGGGATTGACGTTGACTCCAAGCACCATGGTGGGAAATGGGAATGTGTCTTTACAAGTAGCCTACATTTTTTGTTGTTGTTGTTGCAATTAGTGTTAGTTCAGATCAGTAGAGAAATGGGAGCTGTCCGATTCAGTGGTGCTGAAATGCAGTTGCAGCATGCAGAACTCCAGGTGGGCCGTCTCACGCTGTTTTTTATAAGCTCAAACTCAGACTCTTTTCTCCCACTAGAAGTAAATGGGTTTTTATGGGATAATTGTCCTAGTTCTTTGGACATATTTGCTGATGACAAACCACTTATTTTCAGAATCAGTTATAAGTTTGAAATATTGTTCCATAAACCTAGAAAAACGAGATGCCATAGATAAAACAACTTTTTACATTTCTTTGTTAAACTGTTAGTAATTATTACTTGTAATACTGTATTTTTAATTTAGTTACTATGAGATTATAGAAATATTATGGGATAGCATTTTTGTCTGTGTATTTCACAGTTCCATAGGCCTATGAATTAATAAACATTTGCTAAATTGCTATTAAAACCTGCCTATTGGTGATAAAAGTTAAAATGAATTGAAATGTGATTGTTCATGCAGGCAATTTTGGCAAGGCACTCTCTCCAGAGTCCAGACATTGAGTTTTTTCTTATAAAAACAATTCTACTGTGAAATATCTCCTTGTTAAAGTAAGTTAGTGAGTTGTTAGGTAATTTTAAATGTTTTACAGTAAAAATGACATATTTTTACAAAGAATAGGCCCTATGTATTTTACCGCACAGCCTAGGCTATATGGTAAGCTGTCTTACAGTTAACCAACTTACAGGTTTTCAATGTAGTAGAATGAATGAATTTCCCATCCCCCTTGTTTTTACAGAGTGGTTGTTTGATGGTTGTATTTCAGAAGTTAACCGCCGTGAGAAATAGCCCAGACAGTAATGAGCCGTGGCTGTGGTCCTGTGGATCAATAACGTGATGCTGCGCCGAGCGAGCGCAAAGCCACGGATATGTGAAAGAATGCGCGAGGGGTGGAGTTCTACTCTTTTACTTTCCACTCCACACAGTACGGACAGAGAGATCTCACCGCTGTCAGAAGAGGCGCCCACTTGCACTCTTCTTTGAGTTTTTCATTTAGCGAACCAAACCCGTTGTGTTAGTCATCCTTTTTTCTTGTAACATTGCTGATATCTTATGATAAAGCGCATCACAGGGCATCTGCGCTCTCCAGCGCGCGACCAGCACAGACGCTGATTTTCTGACACCCTGCTGCGGTCCTGCGCGCTCCCGCGTCTCTCTGGAGCTGTGAGATTTTAGGAAGCACTGCAGCACCACGAACTGTAAAACTGTTTGAAGTAGAGAGTGTCCTCTTGTCCCGCGTGCCAATGGAAGGGGACGTTATGGATAAACTGGAGGACATGGCCTCAGTGGGCGAGTTCGACCCTATCACGGGGAATATTCCCGCCACCAAAGTGGAGATCACAGTCTCGTGCAGGTATGAGATTCAATTTACATTCGCTCACTCAAGTTGAAACTTTGATTTCATGGCGTTTATATTTCATATGGACCCCAGAATGAAGGTTTTTGACTAGAGAAAAGTTCATAAAAGGTTTTTATTTTTAGTTTCAGCAAATAATCCTTGTCTTGTGTAGAAAACAAGTAGGCTACTGATTGGTTCTTTTGAGAAAAAAAGTTCTTGAATTTTCTTATTGGTTCTATTAACTGAGAAAAATTAAGCGTTTGTTCTTTGAATCACCATGTTTGTAGATGGTTTTGTAGGGAAGCATAGTGAGATTTTATGCTCTCCTTTTGCATCAGGCTGTCCTTTTTTTACCCGCCATGAATTATATATATAAAATAGTTTTAGAAGTAGCAGTTCACATGCAACAATTATGATACGCGACTTTCTGATTCTGCAATATTGATATGAGCGTAAATATCTAATATATCCAGTGAGCTGCGTGTATGTACTTGCCCAAAGCATTTAACGTTGCTGCTCAATTGTCTCCATACCGAGATGCCATAAGTTGTGTCAGATGCTCTGAACATCAAGTCCCCACAAGCATGATCGTCCCCATATAATCTTCACTTGCCTTTGATAATAAATGTCACATGTTTTTGTATTTAGTTGTATTATAAGAACTGCATGTTAGAGGAAATATATCCTCAGTTATTCTTTATTTAAATGTGTATTAGTCGCCAAATCATATAGTGCTGAAGCAAGCAGTGCATATTCATGAGAAGGAGCATAAAAACCCCACCCAGTGTCCTCATGTCAATGAATACAGCATTCAAAACAGCATAGGGGTTTATATGTTGCATGTAACACAATATCTTTGGGCGAACGATTTTTCTTTTCTGACGCTTATAACATCATCTTTACTTTTAGAGCAGAGGTTGGTCTTGCTAAGAATGCATCACTGAAATGCTGCTGTTACTGGAAAAACAGGTTGAGATATGGTGAATTTCAGCCAGGACCACAGTTGGCTTATTGCTGGAGTGATAGGTGGTCTATTGGTTTGGGGTTTTAATCATCTTGGGGTGTAATGGATACGGCTGGTGTGCTCAGCATCTGCTATGCCTTTAATAGTCGTTTATAGTCAATTATACACGCTCCAGTCCAATTTAGACAAAATGATTTTACTGAATTTCCCAACTTGACAGTCAAACTATCTATTTAATGAGAGCAATTTCCCATGCAAGTAGCTAATAACCATAAACTCGCCAACTTCTCAGCTGCAAGTTAATATTGCATGCTGTCTGCAATGAGAAAGAAAGAAAACGGGGTGTAATTTGATCTGATTGTTAGCTGAATAAATTTCCCTGTTAAAAACCAAGACTCCTTCAATTAGCTAAATGTGATCTCAACTGTTTTTAGTGATATAAATAGCTTTTTAGATTTAAAATTCATTTTCAGCTTTTACATCCACTACATACTGTTGTGCATTACACAACAATTCTGACTTCAGTGATAAATTGCATTTTAATTTGAACTCGACATGTATTTGACAAGGGCCTTAAGTGTCACGCATGTAAGAACATATTATTGATTTGTTTCCATACCTGTCTTTTCATTCTTTCTTGTAAAAAAAAGAAAAGAAATTCTAATGCATGCATATAAGGGGATTTATTTCATATATCCAATCATTATGGGTGCAAATAAGATTCTAATGAATATAAAATACTAATGATTAAACTTTAAGTAGGAATTTCAGTTTGTTCAGTACATAATCTCATTTCATTCTAAGAGAATTTTTAGGGGATTTTTGTTTGATCTCATCAGGAGGGGCTCCCATTTCTAATTATGAAATTCCATTAGCATTCCCTTTATGATCTTTCTGCCCTTCTTACAGCTCCACATAACTGCAATAATTCAAACACCGATTAAAAAAACATTAGTGTTATCAAATATGCGATCAAGTTATTGATTTGTACAATATTGTTATTATTTTAATTGAATTAGATTTTTGCCACATCCTTGCTTCTGAGATTGAATCAATGAATAAAGAAATCCATTGGCCCTGAACCATTATGGCCCTTTCTGTCAGCGCAGAATTCTCTCCAGGTTTGTGATGAGACTCTGCGAGGCGGTGGTGGAAATCATCACCTGCGTTTGTTCTCTGTAATTGATTTAGTTTGGGCTGATTATCAGGGGATTGTGGCAGACATGGAATTGAATCTTTTCACTTTTCCCTCCAGATTCCCTCATAACCTGCCGATGTTATTGGAGTGCAGAAAGTTTGGCCTGCAAACCAGAAACTCTGTGATAACCCTTATCACAAATACAAAAGCTGTCCTGTGGCTGTGAGATATGCAATTGATCCAGTTGTCTGGCACTAATTGGGTTTTGGGTTCTGATTGTTTTGTGTTTTAGTGCAGTCTAGTGGCAAGAAAAGTATTTGGATATACTTAGTGGGTCTTCTTCAGCATTTTAACTACTACAAATATGAAAAAGTCAAACGTGGGCGGTTCAAGAATCAAAGAACAGTTTCCACTAAGCAGCACAACTGTTGTAAGAAATGTTACCTATTATTATTATTCGCACCAAAATGTGTAAATTACTCATAAAGAGTGGGGTTGTAATCCTGGACTCATTCCCTCCAATGGCCCTTCCTAATCATGGCCTCCCAATAATCCCTATCACTGAATTGGCTCTACCACTCTCTCTCCTCTCCACCTATAGCTGGTGTGTGGTGAGTGCACTGGCGCCATTGTCCTGTGGCTGCTGTCACATCATCCAAATGGACGCTCCACACTGGTGGTGGTTGAGGAGAGAATATGATATAATTGTAAAGCGCTTTCGTACAGTAGTCATTATGAAAGCGCTATATAAATGCCTTGTTCGTTCGTTCGTTTGTTCAAATCAACAGAATGATTTCAGAAGGATCTTGTGACACTGAAGAATAGAGTAATGGATGCTGAAATTTTAGCTTTGCCTTTACAGGATATAATTACATTTGAAAGTATATTCAAAAGTAAAACATTTATTTTGAATTGTAATACTATTTTTTAACTGTTTATTTTAGTGCTGTCAAAGGCTTAAAATATTTAATCGTGATTAATCGCATTAACGTCATAGTTAACTCGTGATTAATCGCAACTAATCGCGCATTTTCATCTATTCTAAATGTCTCTTGATTTCTTTTCCTCATTTTAATGCTCTTATCAACATGGAAAAGTGGATCGGCTTGCTTTGTGCAAATGTTTTTTTTATTGAAAACAACATTGGCATACTGTGTTCAATTTCACACTAAAATTCTCACTCGGAGCAAATAATCTCTCACACAATGTCCATCTGTCCATCAATAACAGGGTGAAAGAAATACTGACGAGGTCCTGACATTGACGAGGGGGCGGAGAATTCGCATTAGCTGTGTGTGTGTGCTTGGCCATCATCAAGTGGTATTTCAGACTGGACGTGCTGTGATGATGATAGCTCAGTTCACAACAACAAAACACATTGGTCACTTTGGTCTTGTCAATTTGGCAACTTTTTAAAAGGAAACTTTCCCGTCAGAATCTTATTGGCATCCATTTCTGCGTCTCACGCTCGTCATCCACTCAAAACGTAACGTTAACCAACTATTTGGCCGGCTCGTAAGCCCAAATGAGTGTGTGCGGCTTGCCTGTTTTTATGTTTCCGGTCTAGCTCGATTCGCTTGCGCTTTGGTCGACGAAGCAACAAAATGTCCTTGCGCGGCACAAGTCAATGAAATGAATGGGTTTCAAAGTGCAGCGCACGCATGCGGCGTCCTGTTGCAAAAGCATGTGAAAGAAAACTACAAAGTTTGCTTGGCCAAAAAGACGATAAAAAATTGACGCCGTTAAAATGGGTTTGCGTTAACACCGTTAATAACGCGTTTAACTGACAGCCCTAGTTTATTTATTTTCTGTTTTTAATCAAATAAATGCAGCCTTGGTGATTTTAGATCCAGTTTGATAATGAAATAAAACATAACATTTTGTTACTTTGAATTCTAAACATTGAATTTTGAATTTAATTATTGCTGCAGGGAAATGCATGTCCTTGCCAAAAATCATGCGTCCCTGTTGTTCCTATCCTTCATGAGTTGCTCCATGAGTAGCTCTCTGTTATGAAAAAGTGGAGGAATAAAGTTGCAATTGTTGGCAAGCTTCAGTTTCACTGCAGATCTACGTCCTCCTCTGAGTTGACCTTGCAGGTGAGGAACCAGATCATGGAATGCATCTACATTCACTCTGCACTGCTCTGCAGCTAGACTCTGCACTCCTGAGAAGGGCTCTGTCTGGTGGGTATTTGCAAGCCTAGAGATGATTTGCAGTTGGGGTTCAGCTCCCTTCTCAGCGTGTGACTTGATTCCAAATGGAGCCGTGGTGTATTGTAAGCCGTTATTGTTCTTTTGCTATCCATTCAGCTCCAGTGCCTTTTATTGCTGGATTTCCCCTGGTTATATATGCTAGAATATCAGAGTACCTATTGTCCCAGATCTGTGAATATTAGAGCAGACATTCATGTCTTCCTTTGTATCCTGCTTCCAACATGTCTTCCTTCGTACTCTGCCACCGAAATGAAAAACAATCAGATTTAATTTTACAGATGCTACTTGAACCTGAACAGAAGTAAGTAACTCCACTGTGAGAATGAGAGAAAGAGAAATGCAGAAAGATGATGGGTGGATTAATGGACTGGATGGATGGATGGATGACAAATATATCAGAATACTAATGCTTCTTCTACATGATGGCATGTCAGTCTCTCAGAGTCTGAGCCCTTCATCGTGGAAACTGAAACGGGGGTCGAACAGGGGTGCATTATCGCAACCACCCTGTTTTCCATTTTCATTGCTGCCATACTCCATCTCATTGGTGAAAATCTGCCACAGGGTTTCTAATCCTGTACAGAACTGATGGCAGACTTGTCAACCTTGACAGGTTCAAGGCCAAGAGCAAAGTCAACTACTCCACCATCACAGAGCTTCAGTATGTGGATGATAATGTCATTTCAGCGCACTCCAC